CATTGTAGTTCCGTTTTGGGGTTACCTTATAGGACCCAATTCTTGATAATTGGCTATAAGCCACAAAAGGAACTACAATGGAGATTATAGGTATGGCTTAAAGTTGAGGGTCTAGGGTTCAGGGTTTCAGGGTTAACGTTTAGGGCTTGGTCAGGGTTCAAAAGTCAGGATCTATAGAACTTACAGGGTGTATATAGGGTTTAAAGTTTAGGGCTTTAGGGTTTAGGGCTTTAGGGTTTGCGGGTATATAGGGTTTAAAGTTCAGGGCTTATAAGCAAAGAATAGAGCCCTCAAGCCCTCAACCCGAAACTCTGAACTCAGCCTGAAAGCCTAGTCCCAGAATAGGCAAACTCAAAGTCTATATGCGGGCTCAGAGTTGAAGCTCAGAGAAGACCTAACAACATAGGGGTAGTTCTCAAAATCAGGGTCCCTCTTTAGGTCCCCAAGAAAGTACGGCACCCTTATAAAAAGGACCCCAAATGAAACCCTGATTTAGAAAACTACCCATAGGGTTTTGCAGCTATTCTGATAGTTTACAGAGGTTAAGGGCTTGGGTTGCAGGTTTCAGAGCTTTCAAGGCGCCGTGGGTGTTTCGGCAGCAGGGCTCTCGGGGTTTATGAAAGCAGTGTTTGGGGTGCGGGTGCTCCTTTGCAGGGCAAAACGAGATAATCTTTCTGGATCAGGGTTCCGGGTGTTCAGCATTAAGCTGGCGTAAACCCGAGGCCACCAGACCCCTTTTTGCGAAGGGTGCCGGGACGTGACCTCGTGTTGATTCAGTCCCACCCCCAGGGTCATGCTTATGAAAAGGTTGCGCAGTTGAAGCCGAAGCGGAAGTATAAGAGACAGTACTGCTTTCTGTAGTGTCAGTAGTGTTCCAAATATCAAGTAGGAAGAGTCTATGTGTGAACTGGTGTTTGGCGGTCGCAGCAGGTGGTTGTACAAGCTAGGGTTTGGGATTCATGCTTGTGCATTAGCTAGAGGCTCGCAGACTGCGCAAAACACTACCAGTTTAGCTGACCTCCAGGCGTTCCCCCGGACCTGCAAGGCAGCGACTCGAGGTACCGAGCACCATGATTGCTTCAGTATCTATTAGACAAAAAGTGAGGGCCAGCCTGGCTTGAGTGGCTTAGCAGTAGAGTAAGGCCGGCCGAAACCTCCAGTCTAATCCTGCACCCTCTAGTTCCTCAACCCCACAACCCAACGGCTCTGAGCATTTCGACGGCTTTCCAGGCGCTGCTGAGATTGCACAAGTCCAAGCCTGCATCGACCCGAGAGTATTTCGGGTCAAGGGTTCAGCGGTTTGCAGGTTGAGGTCGTAAGGGTTTAGGATTTTAAGCTGCATTGAAAGTGTAGGGTTGAGGGAGTGGCTCTTGAACTACTTTCCGAAGGTATCGCTTGTGTCTTTGGGATAGCAGGCCCGAGGCTTATTCTTACGGGCCGGCTTAGGGTGCAGGGTCTAGGTTTAGGATTTAGGGTTTAGGTTTAGGGCTTAGCGGGTGGAGTACTGAGCCGGCCTGGCGTTTCTACTTATGATTACCTTCACCCTGCATGCAGCTAGGGTCTGGTCTTTAGAGCCGGGCGAGGCACAAGGATTCTGAATTGAGTGCAAAGGCCTTAGGTGTAGGTTGGATGTTCAAGCTTCAGCTCTGGAGCAGTTATGATGAATACGAATAGAACTATATGGGAGTTTCAGAAAATTAGGGTACCTTATTTTGGGGTCCTTATAATAGGGATCCTATTATTTAGGGTACTATATTAGGGTCCCTATTTTCGGAAACCCCCATTTTACTCGTATAGGAGCCTTAAAGCCTTGTCGTGATCGATCGTGCTTCCTGTATACTGACTTGGCGAATGCCAAGCTTTTGGCTTTTCTGCTTCGTTTCGGATAGTAACGGATTCATCGAATTCCTCTGAAGCCATGAGCTTTGATTTCCTTGTGTATTTGGCAACCAGCTATGTAGACTCGTTGAAGTCGTTTGTCGAGGACCTAAATGCCAGATCCGGAATGCCCAAATCGGACAGCACATTAAAGCATTCTTGCAACCAACACTACCCGAACTGCAGGACCGGAAAAAGTAGCATGATTCCTTAATCCAAGAGTCAGGATTTTGTCGTCAGCCTCAAGCACAAAGCTGCAAGACGTAAACCCTATACAACCTTACCCCAGAACACCTGTCGCATTAAGGACTTATAAACTTATACCACTAAGGAGTTCAAACTTAGGAATTTATGGTTCTTGCTTTCATGACCCCTAAACTCAAACCCTATCCCCAAAACCAATGCCGCAACGCCAGACCCAGACCCGACGTCTTAAAGCACATCTCATCTCGCCGTACATGTAGCATCATCCATTCAGTATCAGTAGCCCTAAACTCTCAACATAGCTGTACCAATGTTAAGACATAAAAACGCCCAAAGGGTAAGGTAAAGCATTCGCAACGTATGGTCGAATCTGTCAGAAAGGTCATGCCCGTCTTCAGCGCAGTCGCTACGCTTTGCCTTGTCACTTCTGGCGGTGCCCGGCGAAATCGGGGCCGTCTGGAGGCGGGGCGTAGCATAGAGGCCTGAAGAATGCCTCCTTGCGGTCCCTATATTATGTATTTCATATATACATACCTATATACTGCAAGGAAAACCAAAACCATGACATGAGTAATTCCCTAAACACTGAGTGTTTAGGGCCTAGAGGAGGCTGACCTACATTTTTTCCATGTAGTTGTTTCGAAATAATGAGCGAGGCACACGTATCCCGAAACCCTAGATGCTACGTTCCCCCCGCCAAGTCCCACAGTAGCAGGCTTGGATGTTCCGAGTCGTTGGTTTGCGAACTTCTCCAAACTCAAACCCTGCACCCTCAACCGAAGACCCCATACACACCCCCAAACCACAGTCATGGTTCGTGATTCTGAGAATTTGCCGTTCTGGGCCATCTGTGGATGTCTTCACAGTTTTCTCGTAAGATACGTCCAGGTGCTATAGTGTTTGCTTTCGGCGTATTTTCCTACGTCGGCTGTTCCAATCTTGTCTGCCCTTCAGGTTACGTCGACGTCGATGGTTCGAAGACTTGGTCAGAAGGTATCCTGACACTTACAGTGCGAGGTCCGTTAAAAGGCTGCAGAGCCCCAAACCCCTAATAAACCTTGAATTCCTCAACCCGAATTGAATATTAACCCTGTGCCCAGCACCTGTAAACCAGGAAACTCTAAACGTCAGGGTTTTGGTGTGTGCGGATTGCCGGCAGGAGCTCAGGAAGCGCGTGAAAAACCTTGCGGCGTCGCCTCGGCAAGTGCTGGGAGCCCAGTCTTGGTACGACTTAGGGTTAAGGGTTTAGTGTTGACATTGGGTTTGGAGACATCTTCAGCCAATTGGCTCTGGGATGTTAAACGTCCAGCTTTTGTGGATTTCGAGCTTGAGGCGTTTGTGACTCTATGGAAGGTGTTAGGGGGCTTCTTGCAGCTTTGGGGTTTGACCTTCAGCATCTAAGGGTTTGGAGGTGTTGGGATGTCTTGTGGAGGAATGTATCGGACAGGACACGAATACAGCAATTAGTTCATAAATCGTTGACTTAGTCGCAGAAACCACATTTCTCTACTATCGCATCTACATAACTACTAATATTAAACCTCATTCAATATAGCTGACTTGTCGACCCTGTCTTGAGGGCTTGCAAGGAAGCGAACTCAAATTCCTGGATCGTGTTGTACGACATCAGCTCTATGTGTGTTTATGAAGTAAGTCCTTAGCCACGTTCATGAGTATGAAGTAAGTCATCAGCCATGTTCGTGAGATCTATATATCCTTAATGGATCTGCATTCCTCTGAAGGATGTTGTGCGCAGCTCCATCACGCGGGGATGGCAAGGCTTTGCGCAGTATTCGTGAAGTTTCGTTTCCCACTCTGACATGCCCAGGCCAGATATCTGACCGTGTTCCAAGCGTGTGGGATTTGGATTTTGGGTGCCGCCTGTCACTGGCTGGCGGCTGTTGGGTGAGACTTGCAGGGAATGTCCGGCGTCGCTCCTCCAACCACAGGCATCAACATGTGCGTTGCCGCAGCTCCTGTCCTGGGATCCACCTTTTAGTGGACGGAGACTCGCATAATCCAGAAGAGATCGCATATGCTTTGCGGAAATTGCAGTCCGGGGCCAACACGGTGACAGGGACACTCTTTGCAAGCCCTGATCGGCTTCGAAACAAGAAGTGGGCACATTTTCTTTGCGCCGAGGGCATTCTCTTTCATGGTGTCGAGAGAACAGCTGGCTACTGTGATCCGACTGATGAAGCCATCATTGGCCACATGCACAAGCTAGCATTTCTTCCAGATGTGACCTGCGTAGCGGTGTTGACATCCGACACTGATTTCATACACAGCGCGAAGCACATTCACAATGCCGATGCAAGTGCAGAGATTCGTTTTTTCGTTCCGGAGCCGAAGCGGGGTGTAATCATGCGGTACAGAGAAGCCGGATTCCAAGTCATAGCAGTTCCTCCTCCAGTTGAGCACCCAGGTTACAGAGTGCAAGCTTTCCTTTATAGTGATGGCACTGGCGCAGTTCATACGTCCGAACCAATCCGGCCACTGTACGTAGATAGCGAAACCGAGGCATTGAAAGAGGTGTTAAGGCAGCATGGACATTGGAGTGATTCGCACTTCAATTGGATAACAGGCTTTGTCAAGTACTGGTTTTCGAACTCTCTGGGAACACTCACTGTGTTCCCCCGCCACAGCGCAATCATGCAAATGAGTGAGGCCGTGTCAAAGCATCGTTTGCAGTTGGAAGAGCCTGTTCGAAATCTAGCATTTTTCTTCCCACTCGGAAAATCGTGCAGCAACAGAAAAAAGTCGCAAAGACTTGGTGGGGACATGGCCTGGAAAGTTTCCAGAAGTACTGGACCATTCGTGCTGCATGATTCTGATGAGCTGACAGTGACTGCCTTGCGGAAGCTTGGATATGTTGACGGAACGTACAACTCGGACGTATCGGAGTCCATGCTAGTGTTTGCCAACGTGTCCTACAACAAGCGGCTGCTGCGAGAGACAGGAAATCTGCCGGCCCCCTCAGATTCAGACAGTCAGCTGGATGCCAAAATCCGACAGGCCTTCCTTTCAAGCGCGACGACCGGTCATTGGCAAGTGCCGCCCAAAGACACGGCACTGCGGAAACTCCTTTTTCGTGACGGCTACCTTCCGGCTGAGACTGTCTCACAACCGGAGGTGCTGTCAGCCATGCAGCTCTACTCTCGTCGCAACGGCTTGCCAGCTCGGCAAACCTACCTGGGAAACGTATGGCAGATAACCAAGCAGATAAACTCTGCTGATCCTGATCGCCGTGAAGTTGTAGGAGGTTTCTGATGCTTCTTGTGATGATCAACCTGCCATGCTTGATTGCAAAAGCAGCTGTCCTGCTTGAACTGTCAAGTAGCTGCCCGCCAGAATGCTCCCCAACCTTTTATCCCTGGATGCCCAGGTGGTTTACGGTTCGCGGGCTTAAGGTTTTGAAATTGGCTTCGACACGCACAGCGAAGAGTCTGCAAGCAATCAGATGTTTTCCCAAAGCCCGTTTAGCCAGTCCTTTCTGTACAGGGAATTGGCCTTGTCTGCCGAGGTTCAGGAGGCTGGCACCCGTAAGTACTACACGCATTTCCAAAGCTGCCATCAAACAAACGGACTCTCAAACAGGACACGTACCCTAAATGCAACGGCCGTATAACCTCAATCCGTAGCTCGGCTTCAGTCCCCCAAACAGAGTCTAAATTACTGCTTGGCCCTGGTGTGCGAAGCTTGGCAAACTCCGCAAAGCACGTGGATCAGACCTAGCCCCAGGTGTGAGTTCTTTTTAGCTTCAGGTAGCACAGAACCAACTTTGCAGCCCCTTCCCAAGCCTTAGCATTACCTGTGTCACCTGCCCGTAAACAAGCCGGCTGGAACAGCACGCCCAGGAGAACAAACCCTACACACACCAAACCTTTGAAGCAGAACTGATATTGACCCAAGACCACCCAGCTCAGCAAAATGTAGGTAGTGATTTATGTTAAGTATGTTACAGTTTTGGAATTTTCTGTTTATCTAAAGTTCATCAAAGTGTTAGTTATGATTCATATAGGTGTTTTTTGTACGAGGGTATTGAGTTGGGTGCATATCAGGCTCCTGGATGATGTGTCTTTAGTTGGGGACCACCTACAGCGTGTACAAAGCACCCGAGTTTTTTCACTTCGGCGTGTATGATGTCGTGAACCGAACAGCAAAGTCATAACAGTGCCATTGCAAGTTGAGGGTGTTTGCGGATCAAGCGCTAGCTTGTTATTAGGATATGCCTCAACACTAAACCTTACGGTAACAAAATAGGGAAACCCTAAAGCCTCATATCCTAAACCCAACTCGAAATGATCCAAGACACCCTGAACCAGTACTCAGTACTTGTCGCTTTGAGTGTCGCAGATGTCCGGAACAGTCTTTACAAACAAGAGCCTCTGGCCGACTCCCAGCCAATGGCAGAGCTCGAAGTAGCATGCCATTGCACAATCTACAGGGTTCAGGGAACTGCTGAAGACTTTAATAATCTATAGGGGCCTTAATAATTAGAATAGTTTGTTTTGGGGGGGGGTATATACTATAGTTCATATAGGGACCCCCCCCCAAAAAAAAAACAAACGGTATCGTTAAGTATGGAGGCCCCTACATTACCTTTGTTTCCTTGTAATTTCTGATCTTCAACACCTTGCTTGCAAGGTCTGTGATTCTGAACATGTTCTCGAAAGACCTCAAGAAGTTCCAGTCTGCTGGGCAGGTGGGCACTCTCAGTTTGGGGTGTACTTAAAGGATCATGGGACTTAGTAAGTAGGGTTATAACTAAGGTAACTGTGCTTATAACCCCAATTAGGGGACTTATAACCTTACTTACTAAGTCCCATGATCCTCCAAGTAGAAGTCTTGCGGCGCTGGCTTGGGGTGTTTGCGCAACTGGAAGGGAAGCGCATGCCCGAGCCTGGTATCGTTGCTACGGTTAGGGTTGTTAGTGCCGGCAGATACAAGGCATAAAAGAGAAGTGCACAAACCCCGAACTGTATTGTTGAAGCGCCCGCGTGACCCCATATACATCATGAACTTATGCATGAAAACTCATACAAGTGAGAAACCCAAGGGTAAACCAGCAACCTGAATGGTATGTGAAGGAGCACAGACCTGACGTTTTGCCGAATTCCCAACTTCACGGACACAACCCATTTTTGGACCGCCCCCCCGCCTCGCAACTTCAGAAACCTTTAAACCCTTGAGGACCCTAAACCCTGATTACCAAAAGCCTACACCATGAAACCCTCGGGCCTTTGCTTACGAAGTGCCGCTTGTGGGTCCTCATCGGTTTGGGATTTTACACACAGTGTAGGCTGATGGGTTCAGGGTCGGGGGATTCGGGTTTGAGGTTCTAAAACCTATAATTACTTTTTAGGGGCATACGGCCCCAGGGATACATTTACTTCCTAACCTCTGTTATACCCCAACCCCCTCGACCCCCCCCAAACTCACCGCATTGCTGCTGTCACCTCAGCTCAGGAAGACGGCGCCGCCGCTGGGATGCATCTTCAGACGTGAAGCTGCTTTAATACGGCCATTGACAGGGTTCCCTAAGAGCCTCGCCACCTCAGTGGTACGTTACTGGGGTGTGACTACTCAAAGATCTGCATACGGAGTATAGGGTTTCCGGAACCGTAACTCCATAAATGAAGCAAGCTGGGCTCCTGGGTGTTGAATCGATTGATTCGGAACTATATGTTCAACTGACGTCGAACAGTTACGACCCGAGCTATCATTCCTAGAAGACTCACTTTGAACAACTTTGAGACTTCAGCCCCTGAACCCCAGACTATCCCGGTCCCGCAGGCCCTTAAACCCTATGTTGGGCAGGGGTTTATGTTAGGGTTTCGGTGGACGTATATGGGGCTGCTCAGAAAATTGCAATTGAAATTGAGTTATTGTGTGGACCCTGGGAATATAGTACCCTAAGGGTCCATGTACCCAAATGGTAGATACTTTGGCCTTAAAGGTACATGGACCCTTAGGGGTAGCAAACAATAAGCCCATTTTGTACAACCAGGCCTTCAGCCTGTCTTGTGTCAGCGCCTCTCAGGACAAGTGGCTCCCGCAGATGTTGCGGCCTCGGTTTCGTCTTGTCATTGCTTGGAGGATCATGGGACTTAGTAAGTAAGGTTATAAGTCCCCTAATTGGGGTTATAAGTATAGTTACCTTATAGTTATAACCCTACTTACTAAGTCCCATGATCCTTTAAGTGGAGCCTTTACATAGTCGGCTATGATACAGGCTCGTCGAAGTTTCAGTCCAGCGACACCTTTGTTATACCGGTAGACCTTGAGCTCTAAGCGCTTATCCTTGCAGCACTGGCCCTAAAAGACCTTGAGCCGTAAATCCTGAACCCTTAATAGCCTAAATGTAGCTCTGATAATATGTCTTTAGCAGCCCCTGCAAAGCTCCTAAAACGAATGCCCGCTAACACTTTAAAGCCCTATCACACATTGAAAAGAGAGCCCTGAACCCTAAAACCTTCTAAAACCAGACCCTTTCACACAAAATACCTAAGCTCTGAAAGCTCTTTCAAATAAGACCCCCTAAGCCCAAACCTGACGGCCTCAAGTAAGTAAGTAAGACCCTTTAAACCAAAGCACCCTAAAGACATCTAAAGACTCTTAAGAGCAAGGCCCCATAAACAAAAAGCTACTTCAGGATCCCCGAAGCCCGAACCCAAAGCCCTAAACCCCTAAACNNACTTTAAACCCTCAACCCTCAACCCTCAACTTTATACTATTTCAGGATCGAGGAGGTCATTGGCCCTGAGGGAATCCTCGAGGGCCTTTGGGACATCGTCGAGCAGAGTGTGGAGGTCAAGCAGGGGTGGGGCCTGAAATTTTTACTGAGTCGGGTTTAGGATTTAGGGTTTTAGGGGTTTGGGGATTAGGGTTTTAGGGTTTAAGGTTTAGGGTTTAGGGTTTAAGGTTTAGGGTTTAGGGTTTAAGGTTCGGGGTTTATGGGTTTGGGGTTTAAGGGATTGGGGTTTAGCGGTTTGGGGTTTAAGGTTCGGGGTTTAGGGGTTTGGGGTTTAGGGGGTTGGGGTTTTGGAGACTGGCAGAGTTACTAGCGATGCGATCGAGAGTCTGGACTGAAGAATTAGTAAAGGAATTGGGTAGACGGGGATAGGGTGTGTTTTGGTGTTCTAGTTCCAGGGTGCTTGGAGAGTCCAACAAGCCGTCAGGTAAATAAGCTTCCGTGATTATGAACTACACCAGTCCTGAATTGAATTCAGCCCTAAACCCTAAACCCTAAAGAGACAGTTCATTGAGAATGGAGCTTTTGGGAAAGTTGAGTCCCTAAACCCTGTCAATCCTCAGAGCATCGGAGCTTCCCCGAAGGGCTTAGGGTTTAGGGTTTTTGAGAGGGTTTAGGGTTTAGGGGTTTTTTCGGGGCTCATCACTTCCATCCTTGCCCCCGATTCGCCCAGCCACCAGCTCTGTGCCAGGCCTGGGATCTACTGGAAGATTTCCAGCTGCGGACGCGAAGGTCGTCGAGAGCAGCTGAGAGTGTCGGTGTTCAGAGCTGACGGATAGGGCAGGGCTCAGGCAGCTTGGGGTTTCGAGACTAATCAGATCAGGTTTCGGATTGCACAGTTGATGATTTCGATTTTGAGTCTTCGGCTGGCTTAGGATTGGGAGGATTGTTTCGCTGCTTGGTTTTGCACGGCCTTGTTGTGGTTTTCCGGAGTGAAAAGGAGATGCTTTGACCTGAATCACCTGCTCACCTACACTATATGACCATGCGTGTGTGGCAACTACTCTGCTGCTGCCTTTTTTTGCTGCTGTTGCTACGGCAATGACGACGACCACGATGGCCACGACTAGGACGATGACGACGATGACGACGATGACGACAACGACAACGACGACAACGACTACTACTGCTGTTGCTACTGCTTGCGCTTCTGCTTCAGTTTCTGCGTCTGCTGCTATATTGCTTCTGCGAAAGAAAAGGGATTGTCACAGCAGTTTGAAACATCGCCGAAATCAATCTTTGAACCATGCACCATTCGCGAGAGCACAGGAGGCATGATGTGTAGAACAGAGAGACTCGACAGTTCAGTCTACAGTCTACCTAGAGGGCCCTTTTGTCTCCAGAACATGTTACAGGACACCAGAGCAGGGAGCCCTGGCCTACCCCAACCCTAAACCCTAGAAAGGTAGGTTTGTTTCGGGTACAGGTAAGGTTTTGGGCAGGCCCAAGACTTATAGAGTCCTAAGTGGGGTTTAGAGTGTCGATAAGAAGGTACTTTGGTTGCGGATAGTAATTA